AGTCGGGCGACTCTGTCGCCCCCAGGGCTGCGAGTGCCCCGGTTGAACGGCGGGAGGCGGGAGCTTGCAGTGAGCGGATCACGTCCACTGCACTCCAGCCCTTGGGAGCACAGCGAACTCTGATCTCGTTCAAAAAAAAAAAAAAAAAAAAGAGAAACCTGAAATTCCTGCTCTGTCTTTTTATTTTGAGACGGAGTTCCTGCTTCTGCTGTCACAACCAAGCTGGAGTGCAATGGCACAGTCTTGGCTCTACTGCAGCTCTCGTCTCCGGGAAGTTCAGCATCTTCTCCTTGGCCTTAGCCTGCCCAAGTAGCTGGGTTACAGGCACCTGTTGCTACCACACATGGCTATTCTGTCACCCAGGCTGGAGTGCGGTGGCACAATCATGACTCATTGCAGCTTTGACCTGGGCTCAAGAAATTCTCCCACTTCAGCCTGTACAGGTGAACACCACCAAGCCCGGCTAATTTTTGCATTTTTTTGTAGAATCAGGGTTTTGCCATGTTGCCCAGGCTGGTCTCAACTCCTGAGCTCAAACAGTCTGCCCACCTCGGCCTCCCAAATTGCTGGGATTACAGGCCTGAAGGACCAGGCCCAGCCCCCAAGCTCTACTGCCAGATCAAAGAATATATCAAAGATTAACCTATTTAAATCCAGAGGACAGTACAAGGAACAGTGGATCAACATTCCAAGGAAACAAATTTCAGTTCTCTATAAGGAATACTTAGCAGTCTAGACAGCCCACTGATATTGAGAGGCCTCGGCTTCCTGAAAATGTCAGAGTTAGGACAAAAGTCTACCAGAAATGTAGACCTGGAAGTTACCATTCTAAGACTCTTTGGTTTCCTTGCTAAATTCCACGAATTTAAATCATGAATTGCTCAACTTTATTAACAGATTTTGATACAAGATTATCCAACTGACTAGAAGGCCAACTGGTGCTCTGGGCCATTGCTCACCTTTATGATGTTGGCACAGAACCGCTCCCAAAGTGACAGCTCTCCTTCCTTGATCCATGACATAGTTCTTTTCCAGTCAGAAGATCACCCCAGAACAACTAAACACCAGCCAGGTAATCTTGGATAAACAAGAAAGAAAATAAGAAGCCACCAAGGTTTGCAAAGAGCTATAACTGACTTCTGGGGAATCAGATGGACTGTGGAGAGCAGCCAGCATTAGAATCCAAAGACACTGGTCTAAGCCTATAATCTTTTACCACCCACAGTTTTATAAGGCAATGAGACCTCTGGGGGGCAAAAGCCTTTCCTCGGTTCTCGTGCCTTTGCAGACCTGTTCCCATTCCCATTTCCTCAGTATCTGCACTGACTTCTTCTGAACATCTAAGTCAGCTTCCTGCCACATCATGGTGCCCACATCTTGATCATTCCCTGTTTCTTCCTTCTCCATCTTCCCTCAAGCTGTTTCCCACTCTGCGCTCCCAGTTACTAACCCCTTCAGTTATCGCACCGCCGGTACTTCACGCCTCAGTGGTCTCCTGATTATCCCGTCAGTCGTCCCTTTGCTTCTCCCGCAGCTGCTCCCCGCCCAGTCACCCTCTTCTCCTCTAGTTCACCCCTTCAGTTCAGTGGCACCTGATTCGCTCCGCCGGGCGCGTCCCCACCGCTTCAGTGGGCCGGCACTTCCTCACGACGTGGCGCTAGAAGAACACGTCATCTTTGGGCGCTGCGACACGCCCCCTCCGTCACCCAAGTTGGGGGGCCCTGCCCTGCGCCTGCGCCTGCGGGCTAGAGGGAGGGCAGTTCTCAGTCCCGGGGTGTGGAAGCCGGCGAGGGTGAGAGCCAGGCTCACGTGACCCAGCGGGGCGGGAGGCTGGGCTCCAGGCCACGTGCTGGGGGACCAGCTGGGGAAGACGGGGTTGAGCCCAGCGTGGAGAGCGGAAGGGTCGGTAGACTCACAGATTGGGAGGCCTCTGGAAAACGCGCCAGTGAAATGAGCCAGGGGGAAGAATCGAGGCGCTTCTCGGCCTTTGAAGGCAGCTTAGGACTGCTGAGAAATAGGGTAAGGCAGCGTCCTCACCTGGAAATGCCGCAGAACCGGGCTTCATTAGAGCACTGGTACATACTCTTAAAAATTATCTCGTTACGTTTCGTGTTTTATTTAGTGGATTTAATCGTCTGGGAAGAAGTTTCTAGCCGCAGCCAATCTTACAGACGCGCAGAATATTAATCTATTTTGTGCCAATTTAAGGCACGCGTATTTTAGGATTTGTGGATTACCAAGACCTGTCCCAACGAACTCGGGAGAAGCGGTAAGGCCAGAAGGATCTCTGCCATAAGAATGGCTTCTAGGCCAGACGCGGTGACCCACGCCTGTAATCCCAGCACTTTGGGAGGCGGAGGCGAACGGATCACCTGAGGTTAGGAGTTCGAGACCAGCCTGGCCAACATCGTGAAACCCCCGTCTCTACTAAAAATACAAAAAATGAGCCGGGCGTGGTGGCGGGCGCTTGTAGTCCCAGTTACTCGGGAGGCTGAGGCAGGAGAATCGCTTGAACCCTGGAGGCGGCGGTTGCGGTGAGCCAAGATCACGCCACTGCACTCCAGCCTGGGCAACAGGAGCGAAACTCCGTCTCAAAAAAAAAAAAAAAAAAGAATGACTTCTAAAATAACAGAAAGGTGCTCGCTTTGGCAGCACATAAACGAAAATAACAAATTAACCCTGGTAGAAAAGCTAAGGGCATTAGCTCTGTACTGAACCTTTACGAAAAAAAGGGTTGCAAGGATTCTAGGCTCACAAAAGAAATTCGTAGTTAAGGCCGGGCGCGGTGGCTCACGCCTGTAATCCCAGCACTTTGGAAGGCCGAGGCGGGTGGATCACGAGGTCGGGAGATCAAGACCATCCTGGCTAACGCAGTGAAACCCCGTCTCTACTAAAAATACAAAAAATTAGCCGGGCGTAGTGGCGGGCATATGTAGTCCCAGCTATTCGGGAGGCTGAGGCAGGAGGATGGCGTGAACCCGGGAGGCGGAGCTTGCAGTGAGCCGAGACTGGGCCACTGCACTCCAGCCTGAGTGACAGAGCGAGACTCCGTCTCAAAAAAAAAAAAAAAAAAAGTAGTTCAATCTTCTCAAAATTGAAAAAGGAGGAAAAAATTCTTTGCAGATTCTTATACAACCAGTATTATTTTTATTTATTTATGTATTTATTTTGAGACGGAGTCTGGCTCTGTCACCAAGTCTGGAGTGCAATGGCGCGATCTCGGCTCACTGCAACCTCCGCCTTCCGGGTTCAATCGATTCTCCTGCCTCATCCTCCTGAGTAGCTGGGACTACAGGCGCGCGCCACCACGGCTGGCTAATTTTTGTACTTTTAGTAGAGACAGGGTTTCACCATTTTGGCCAGGATGGTTTGGGTCTCTTGACCTGGTGATCTGCCTGCCTAGGCCTCTCAAAGTGCTGGAATTAACAGGCGTGAGCCACCTGGCCCGGCCACAACCAGTATTTCTTGCAAAGCATAATACAACTTTATCATGCATTATGTCTTGAGTGGAATAAAAATTCACAATTGTCAAAGAACCTTTTTGTCGCATTTCACTTTTCAATATTATTAAAGAAATGAGGCAAGGAAGAGATTTTTTATTGGCAATTTCTAATTGATTATGTCTTCCACTCTTTCTAATGAAAGGGGTTATTTTAACACAGCAACATTTTTAACACAGCAACATGATCAGAGAAAGCCCTAGAGATGAGTAGAAATGAATAGTATTGAGCTTTTCCATCCTTCCTGCTTTGCAACCTGGGGAGTAAATTTCAGTCCAACTTACTTCATTTTGCAGCAAGACAATTTAACTAAGTCCACTAGTAGTTTGCTGCTTTATGAGGTTCTACTGTCAGCTTTGACTTTTGGTACAATTAAGGAGCCACAAAGTCCCTGGAGTAGATGTATGAAACTTCTTTCCCTTGCTCTGATAATGTCAGGCTTGAGGATTTAAACAGGTTTCCCTGTTTCCTTGCATGTTGTGTTAATATACTTGGTTTGCCTCCAATCAAGTTTTTTTTTCCTTTTTAAAATCCTTCCCTTAGTGGGAATAGATGTTTAAAGATCAGTGTTCTTGCTTGATGACTTGTGATATATAAAAAAAATTCGATGCTCATAAAAAGCAAACTTTGGCTCAAAGAAAATGTTGCATTTATAGTTAGTCAGTGAATCTCCTCTGGCCTCAATTTCCCCAGTTCCACAACACATTTCTGTCCTTGGGATGCTGCAAGGGGTTAATTAATTAAGATTTGTAAAGGACTTTGAGGAGTAGGGGACAAAGTATTATTAGGGTCTCATGCCCCAAGCCATGGCCCCATCCTTTCATCCCAGCCAGTGGCACAGGCAACCCCATTCTTATGCATGCCAAGCCCCTAATCCCCTCTTGAATGTGGAAGCTTCCAAGGAAAGGACAAGAGGCCTTAACTAGAAACAAAAATCCACTGTAATGAGGTGCTAAGAGGACTGAACTTTCAAGATTCATTCCTAACAAAGTGGCTGAACAGAAAAATGTAATGGTTCTTCTGTGACTTCTGAGTCCCAATCCAAGAAAGTGGGAGTTATGGGAAGGGCAAAAACATCTGACAAGGGGATGACAGTTTGAGTACCAATAAGTCTTTATTTATTCATTGTATTTTCCCAGGGAAAGGAGAAGGGAAGGGAAGAGTCAGCATGTGTTAAAAAATGATTAAAAAATGGGAAAGGAAGTACCCAGTACAGCAAAATCAACCATCAAATAAACACACCCCAGTGATGGGGTCACCAAAGCCCAAAGGGGCTCAGTCTCCTGCAGTTCAGGAATGAGGGAAAGGGATCAGGAAAAAAACAGACAGGTACAGGCTTTCCTACCCTCCCTTCCCATAAATTCAAGATTTTACACAAAGCTTTGGTTTCTAGCAGTAAACATGGAGTTACATTCGTTCATCTCCCGTTAAACAATCTTGTGGCCACTTTGACATAAGTTTCTAGCACCTGCATAAAAGTTCCTGAGTGACTTGGATATACATTCATATTCCCTTTCTTGGCCTCCTGACCCCACTTTCTACATGGAAGGCCCCAGTTGCATCTCTCTACTTTAGGATTAAAAATTAAGTAGGTTTGATCCATCCAAAATACAGCAGTGTCTTTTTTTTTTTTTTTTTGAGATGGAGTCTTGCCAGGCTGGAGTGCAGTGATGCGATCTCGGCTCACTGCAGCCTCTACCTTGCGAGTAGCTGGGACTACAGGTATGCACCACCACACCCAGCTGTTTTTTTTGTATTTTAGTAGAGACAGCGTTTCACCGTGTTGGCCAGGATGGTTTTGAACTCCTGACCTCGTGATCTACCCGCCTCAGCCTCCCAACATGCTGGGATTACAGGCGTGAGCCACTGTGCCCGGGCTACAGTGTTTGGCATGAATATATCAATAGTCGGCCCAGCGTGGTGGCTCATGCCTGTAATCCCATCACTTTGGAAGGCCGAGGTGGGCAGATCACCTGAGGTCAGGAGTTCCAGACCAGCCTGGACAACACAGTAAAACCCTATCTCTACTAAAAATATGAAAATTAGCTGGGTGTGGTGGGCACCTGTAATCCCAGCTACTCAAGAGGCTGAGGCAGAATTGCTTGAACCCAAAAGGCAGAGGCTGCAGTGAGCCAATCATGCCACTCCACTCCTGCCTGGGCGATAGAGTGAGACTCCATCTTAAAAAAAAAAAAAGAATTGGTAATGGTCTTGACTTAGGTGGTTGGGAACAAGGGATAGAGGGTTTTCCTAGCTTCAGGATTTTTGCATACATCGTTTAAGAGTTGTGGAGACACTCCAAGTGTTAAATGTGTATGAGTGTGGGTGTGTAAGTTTTCTTTTGGGAGTGAACAGAAAAGAGGACAGGGTAGAAGACAAGTTTTTAGGACAGAAGATCTGGTCTAATAGGTAATAGGGGAAGGGGAATACAAAAGAAAGGATGGTTCAAGATCCCCACTTTAAGAAGAGGGCCCCCCAAACTAATGTTTCAGATCTTTTTGCCTGGTGCAGAACCTTCTGTCAAAGATGCTTTGGCTATTTTTCTCTCAATACAAAAAGAAGTTTGTAAACAAAACCCCCAAAGAACACGGAGAAAGACCAATACATTATATTTACACAAACTAGGCCACCTAGCAATCAACTTAGTGAAGTCCTACAAAGCCCAGACAAATACAATAACTAGAGGGGGGGCAGCATTTAGGGGAGACAAGAACCCAGGAGGAGACACACACCACCCAATGCGTTCTATTGCATTTGTCCCGTTTCAACACAGTGAGGTAGGTTTGCGGTGATCTCACAGCATGTAAACGAAACCCCCTTTTTCTCCTTTGGCTACCATGACACTATTAATCACTACTGCAGCAGGGCAGGACACAGGCCCCAGGCACCACAAAGCCCTCACTTGTGTGTCTCCCTGGAACCCGAGAATTTTGACAGGTTAAGAATCTGAGACCTTACTTCACATATCCATCCTTGGACAGCACAGGATTAAGTACAGGGGTATTGGTCTTAAAACTTATCCTTGGCAATTGCAGTTTTACAAACACACACACACCCTGTGGTGCATGGTAGGCCTAGCCTTATCTGGTGAAGAATGGATCTGGAGATGTAAAACACGTCCTGTGCCCTAGGATTAGACAACCCTCACCTAATCTTGGCTTGCTCTCTGGGCCTTTCACTTGGCCCAGCCTCTGCTAGCCTCTGTACCACCATTTCCTGTTTAGACTAATTCCCAATCTTCCAGTAGGAGGCAATCAAGTCATGGGGCAACCCAGTTAAAACCTAGTCTCCCATAAAACATTTTCAAGGCAGAGGGGGTTTCAAGAGGACACTATGGCAGAAAAGCCAGCTCTTATTGGCAAAAATGAGGTAGTTCAATAGGCTGTGCACTCCAAATAGTTGCTCTCCATGGTGGCAAAAACAACAAAAAGTATTCCTGCTGCGCAGACCTGGAGCTGCTGCTGGCTTATCCCTGAGATTGCTCATGTACCTGAGAACACAGTGCAGGAAATGAGGGCCTTAGATTAAAATATACAAAAATACAAAACCAGAATATTTATATTAAGAAAAAAAAGGTTAAAATGCACAAGATACGTCATTCGCACACAGCTAGTGCAGTTGGCATCCTGGAGAAAGTGGGATCCAAGGTGCAGTATCCAAGGGAGCAAATAAATAAAATCACATTGGCTCAGAATGGGGCAGGAGTGAGCACAGGAGCAGCAGGTCTGCAGCTGTTCCCCCAAACACCCTTTTTGCCATCATCATTACCCGTTGCTTGGGACAGCTGCCAGCACCCTATCCCAAACGTGGGTATGAGGATATAAGATGTGAAAAAAAAAAAAAAACAACACTGCTTACTCCTGAGAGATTCCCTTCCACAGAATGTAGTGGCTTGTCTCCATGAATCTGGTCTTATACTTAATCATTTCACTCTGGCATGGGAATTATTATATATCCTTCTTTAAAAGGAAAACAACTTCCCTATCCAGGCCACTTTCAAAAGCTGGAAATTCTGGGAATGGAGCCTCAGATAAAGTATGCAGGTTGCAGGGTGATTCCCCCATCCTGGTTGCCCCCAGAACCCTCACTTGCATTTGGACAGAGCATGATTGGAGTTCCTTTGACTCACCCTTTCCCCCCACCTAGAGGAAAGAAAGGGTGATGGTGTGAACCCCAGCCTGAGATACATGGCAGTGCCAACTAGCCCCAATGCACCCTATTCCCACTTTCTCCACTCTGCCTGCTCCTCAAAACTTCCTGATAGCAAAAGAATAGCCCCCACCCATTGTGGCTCAATTCTGCGCCTCCGGGAGCAGGGCAGGGCTGTGGATTTCTTCTTCTTCCTCCCGAAAGTAGGTTGGCTTTCCCTGTGCACTAGGGCCCTGCTGGGCCTTCAGCGGACATGAGGCTACCATATGGCTGATGCTCTGGCAGAAGTGGCACTTCTTGGGCTGGGGTGGCAGCTTGCATTCCTTGGCATGATGGTCTAGACCTCCACAGTTGTAGCACCTAGTACAAAGCAAGATGGTAAAAGTAAGAGAAAGGAGCAAGAAGAGGCCAGATGATTCCCATGAATGAGGACACCTTGGCTGTGGTACAGGTTTGTCACTTACTTCCCTTCCCAGAGACCAAACTTCCCACTTACAAAAGGAGGACTATTACTAAATGATCTCTTAAGTCCTTTCCACATCTAATTGTCTAGGTGATCTCTTCAGATTCAAGTCAACTTGAAAATACCAAGACACCAGAAATAGAAGTTACTGACCCCAACTGGGAACTACAACTTGGAGGATAGGAGAGATTCTTCCATACCCTTAATATAAGAGAAATTAAAGAAGCCAAATTATAGTATCTGTTCAGAGCTAAGGGGCTTTAAGACCAAACAAGATGGCCGGGCGCGGTGGCTCAAGCCTGTAATCCCAGCACTTTGGGAGGCCGAGACGGGCGGATCACGAGGTCAGGAGATCGAGACCATCCTGGCTAACACGGTGAAACCCCGTCTCTACTAAAAAATACAAAAAACTAGCCGGGCGAGGTGGCGGGAGCCTGTAGTCCCAGCTACTTGGGAGGCGGAGGCAGGAGAATGACGTAAACCCGGGAGGCGGAGCTTGCAGTGAGCTGAGATCCGGCCACTGCACTTCAGCCCGGGCGACAGAGCGAGACTCCGTCTCAAAAAAAAAAAAAAGACCAAACAAGATTAAGGAAACCCGCCATTTGCAGACCTGGTAAAGCAACAACAGATACAGATAATACTATCTTGTCCCATCATTTGCAAATCCATGATTTCCTTTAATTCTAAAACCATCCTAGGATGTTAGTATCACTGGCCTCACTTAACAATTGAGGCTAGAGCCCACAAAGCAAACTTACTTGTCCCAAGTAGAAGCACTAAGTCACCCCCAGTGCCCTCCTCACCTACTGCCCTTGCCCACACCTATTGCAGGCACTCAGCCTTCCAGATGCTGCCAGGGACCACAGGCTTCCCTTCGTGTTTTGCTGTGTGACCCAAAACTGACAGGATTGGGAGACTGGGGATGCCCCAGCAACCTATAAGCTGCCTTCCAGTCCATACCTGTCTCCTTTTGATCTGCGCTTCTGCATGTTCTTCCCTTTTGGCCGCCTCTCACTCCCAATACAGAACACCCCACCAGGTCCGGTGACACGGATGGATTCCAGACCCTTGGCTGACTTCTTAAAGGTGAACTCCACTGCCTCACCCTCCTTCAAGCTCCGGAACCCCTCCATGTGCAGTTTACTCTGGTGAAGGGAAATAACATTAGTTTCCATTATTATACCGAAAGACCAGGAGCACTTATTCCTGTAGGGCAGGAATCAAATGTGATGGTACTCCTATTTTACTGGTAAGGAAACTGACTCAGAGTCACTACAACTACAAACAACAAAAGTCTACCAGTACATTAACAAAAATCATAATTATATAAGCAGATGCCATGATATTTTATAGCTATTAAATTAAGAATTTAAAGTTCTTAATAAAATAGAACAGAGGGCCGAGCACGGTGGCTCACACCTAAAATCCCAGCACTTTGCGAGGCCGAGACGGGTGGATCACCTGAGGTCAGGAGTTCGAGACCAGCTTGGCCAACATGGTGAAACACCATCTCTACTAAAAATAAAAAAAATTAGCCAGGCATGGTGGTAGGCACCTGTAATCCCAGCTACTTGGGAGGCTGAGGCAGGAGAATTGCTTGAACCCAGGAAGCGGAGGTTGCAGTGAGCCAAGATCATGCTACTGCATTCCAGCCTGGGCAACGGAGTGAGACTTTGTCTCAAAAAACAAAACAAACAAAGAGAAAAATTTCTAAATACAAGCATTTGGAAGATATCAACAAATATAAAATTACGAAATTTAAAGTGTCAAGCTATAGAGGTTGCAGTGAGCCGAGATGGCACCTTTGTACTCCAGCCTGGGCAACACAGCAAGACTTTGTCTCAAAAATAAATAAATAGATAAATAAAATAAAAATAGCTGGGCATGGTAGCTCAGCTGCGTGCAGTGGCTTACGCCTGTAATCCCAGCACTTTGGGAGGCTGAAGCAGGTGGATCACGAGGTCAGGAGTTCAAGACCAGCCTGGCCAACATGTGAAACTATCTCTCTTAAAAATACAAAAATTAGTCGGGTGTGGTGGCAGGCGCCTGTAATCCCAGCTACTCGGGAGGCTGAGGCAGGATTATTGCTTGAACCCTGGAGGTGGAGGTTGCAGTTAGCCAAGATCACACCACTGTACTCTAGTCTGGTTGGCAGAGCAAGACTCCATCTCAAAAAAATAAATAAATAAAATATAAAGTGTCACACTATAAAGTACTGAAACATTCATTTTTCACATAATGCCTCACTTAGTACTTATACCATCATCAAAAGACCAAATAAATAGAATACTGGAAAAAATACAAAATCAAGTGGTATTTTTATATCAAAGCAATATTATATGCCTTATTTAGAAAAAAAAAAAAAAAATAATAATAATGGGCCTGGCGCGATGGCTCATGCCTGGTAATCCCAGCATTCTGGGAGGCCAAGGCAGGTGGATCACCTAAGATCAAGAGTTTGAGACCAGCCTAACCAACATGGAGAAACCCTGTCTCTACTACTAAAAATACAAAATTAGCCAGGTGTGGTGGTGGGCACCTGTAATCCCAGCTACTTGGGAGGCTGAGGTAGGAGAATCACTTGAACCTGGGAGGAGGGGGTTGCGGTGAGCCGAGATTGCGCCATTGCACTTTAGCCTGGGAAACAAGAATGGAACTCCGTCTCAAAAAAAAAAAAAAATAGAAATCACAATAATGGCTGCAAAACATGTTAAACAAACAAATAAACGGAATAGGCCAGGCATTCCTATCTGTAATCCCAGCACTTGGGGGAGGCAGAGGTGAGCAGATCACATGAATCCAGGAACTCAACACCAGCCTGACCTAAGTGGCGAAATGCCATCTCTACAAAAAATACAAAAATTAGCTGGGCATGGTACACAGACCTGTAATCTCAGCTACTCAAGAAGCTGAGGCAATCGTTTGAACCCGGGAGGCAGAAGTTGCAGAGATGGCACCACTGCACTCCAGCCTGGGTGACGGAGCCAGACACTGTCTGGCTCACTCCTGTAATCCCAGCAGAGGTGGGAGCATTGCTTGAGCCCATGGGATGGAGGTTGTAGTGAGCCGAGATTATGCTACTGCATTCCAGCCTGGGCAACAGAGTCTCAGAAACAAACAAAAACACCAAAACCCTCAGAATACATTTAACAAGGTTAAAAAGCCTATATGAGGAAAAAACTCAAATTATATTAAAGGAAAAAAATGAAAAAACATACCACGATCTTGGATTGGAAGATTCAGTGATTCTAAAGGCTATGGGAAAATATAAATTGCCAAGAATACCAGTTATTACAATTTAAATTGGATATCATCATCAGCATAGCAACTACAAAGCGAAAAACAGCAAGTTTACAGTGGAGAAAACTGGCAGATAATACCCTAGTCAAGTTCTTTGCATTTTCCTTTGCCTACAATAGGACACACATATCTCCTGATATGATGCACTAAGGACTTATGACTTTAAAAATGCACATCCTGAATCTAACCTTGAGGGAACATCAGACAAACTCAAACTGAGGGACATTCCTATAAAACAGGACTTCAAAAATGTCAAGGCTATAAAAAGACAAAGCCTGAAGAACTGAACAGTTCAATGCAATCCAAGATTCCAGATTGAATCTTGAAACAGAAAAAAAAAATAGGACAATCGACAAAATTTGCATATGGTATATAGATAAATGTATCAGTGTTTAATTTCCTGATTATGATTAGTGTACTGAAATGATGTAAGACTGATATTCCCAGTCAGGCACAGTGGCTGATGCCTGTAATCCCCAGCACATTGGGAGGCCAAGATGGGCGGATTGCTTGAGCCCAGGAATTCGAGACCAGCTTGGGCAATATGGCAAAAACCCGTCTCTACAAAATAATACAAAAATGGGCCAGGCATAGTGGTGCATGCCTGTAGTCCCAGCTACTGGGGAGGCTGAGGTGGGAGGATCCCTTGAGCCCGGGAAGCAGAGGTTGCAGTGAAAAGAGATGCTCCAGGCTGGGTGACAGAGTGAGACCCTGTCTCAAAAAAAAAAAAAAAAAGATCACTATTCCCATTCTTGGGAAATACGCACCAAAATATTTAGAGATAAAGGTGCTTACTGTCTCCAACTTACAATTTTTAAAAATGAAATAAAACTATCTGTACCAAGATAAAGAATGATAAAGCAAAGGGGGAAAATGTTAAGAGTTGATGAATCTGGGTAAAGGTTATGTGGGTATTGTTCTTGCGGCCTTTTTAAAGTTTGAAATTATATCAAAATAATGTTACCAAAAGACAGTATAACCCAAGCAGATGGATCAGAGGATTAAAATGGAAAATCACAGAGAGATCTGAGAATACATGGAGAAATCAATAAGCAAGGAAAATAATCCAATAAATCCTGCTATAAAAATTAATAATCCATTTGGAAAGGAAGCCATATTCCTACACATTGTTTGATACACATGCAAAATACATTTCAGAGGATTTAAACACCTCATTGTTAAGAAAAATACTGAAAAGTTAAGACAGATAATCAGACTGGTAAAACTACAAAAATATACCATAAATCACTAAGAAAAAAGAATTACACAACATAATATAAGTAGATATCAGTAGGAAGTCTTAGCATGCCATCCTATAAAACAGGACTTCAAAAATGTCAAGGCTA